TGAATTTATAAATAAAAATTTCTCTATAGAATAGACATTTTGTCCAAGAATTCTAAAGCTTCCCAGCAGGTCTCGGAATCATCATTCAGAAAATTCCTAAAACAACTATTGAATCCGAAAACATTTGACATTCAGAATGGCGAAAGCCGCTATAAGTGTGATAAGAACATGTCTGCGTCAATCATATGGGCTAGATGTTAAGAAGGGGACGAAATTGACAAAAAAAAAAAAAAAATCTTCGGATATTCAATTTTTTTCATCAATTAATCAATCAATCAATCATAAAATTACGGCTGTCCTGTCCGTACAAAAGTACTTGATTGGTCAGAACTAAATCCTTACGTAAGTGTATGGCTCATGACTTTAATTAACAGATTCTGATCAACTTTTGACAATTACCCGCTATCACGAGTATGTTGACCATTTCAAAGTATCCGATTGGTCAGAACTATGTAATATTATGTTAAAAATTTTCTCATACCTGATAATGCCGTCATGAAATGTAATCGGCCAAATCTAATAACTGGTGATAGCGTGCGAAAAGTAGTAATTTTTGCATATATTTTATAGCATGCATAAAAAATTGTGATTTTATATATGACGCCATCATTTTTATAGCACGCGCAAAATCTGTAATCTCGCATATAAAACTTACTAAAAATGAAATAGTAATTTTGGTCGCATAATGATAAGATGAAAATCATCATGCCAATGCCTGTTTTAGTAATTCTGTAATTATAAATTATAAATCCAATGAGAAAAAATTTTGTTCCACAATTTTATGGTATAAGTTACAATCTTACAATTAGGGCTGTTAATCGGTCCGGTCCGGACCGACGGTCCTTCGGTCAGTCCAGGGATCGGCCGGTCCGGTCCTTTTTAGGACGGACTTTTGAAACAACTATAAAATGTTGTTTTGGGTTAAAATTCAATTACAAACCCCTTATTTTGTTAAACAAGATTAAACCACGTATAATGTATAATGAGAACGGGCTGTTGTTAAAGTATTAATGACAGCAATGGCGTGATCAGTTGATTTACAATTTGCACTGTATTTGTGCAAAATAACGCCTATGGGCATTATTTTGGAACACGACTTTGAAACAACTATTAGCTTGCCTCAAACTCGTGTTCCAAAACAACGCCTATATGCAAATACAGTATATTGTTCAAAATCCGATATAAGTGTAATCTGCTCGATCCGCATGTAAGTAATGTACCATTATTGTCAAATTATAGATTATCAGTTTTTTCAATATTGGTACGCATTGATAAGAATTTAATTTCGTCGTTATAGCAAAAAAGTATTATATTGATCATCGGTCCGTCCGACCTAGATCTATTCGGTCCTATTCGGTCCTGGACCGCAGTCCGGTCCGGTTTTTTATAGCTATTATCATTATTTCTGGGACACCTGAAGAATTTTCAGATGACCGAAATATCCTCTATTTCATTCGGTAAATTG